ATAACAAATGCGCAAAAATTATATCGAGATTGTGATTTGATGTGAAAGCATGACGTTAATTTCCTCATTTCATATTCTATAACTTTTCTGATCATCTTTATGCAAGTTAAATTATCACAAACGTTAATATCGACCATGGATTTAGCGCCAAGTCCATGTAGTTCATTACTCCATCGTATTTTCACACTAACTAGGCAATGTATTACCTTTTTCGTAAATTATCACACAATTCATAAAGGATATTCTGGAAAAATTGTTATTGTACATATAGCATACATCATCGCTAACAGATAATTAAAAAAGTATCCAACAAGTTGTGATCGTAAAGGACTACCAGGCGATGACTATGGTGCTGTTGTGCATCACCAATCTTAAGCTTTTACTATTCAGTAGGAGTTTCATTTTTATACGCGATGTAGGAAGTGTACATATTTCTTGCTCATGATGGAGTTTGTTGCGAGATGAGGTTGACGATAAAGAATAGACATTCTACTTTATCGTTACTTATTTAGGTCTAGGCTACGCCATGATGGTCATTTCTGGTTGGGTAGCAATTTATTATAATATGCTGATTGCATGGAGTTTGTACTATCTTTACAGCAGTTTTGCTCCTGTGTTGCCTTGGTCAACTTGCAATAACACTTACAATTCACCATACTGTTTTGTCGATGTTCCAAAAAATGGATCACTATACAACATCCCAGCCATAGGAGAATTCCTAAAGTAAGCCGTATAGGCTATAAATTTAATTTTGCCCCACACTTCAAGTAGCAAATGAACCCTTGATATGTGCTTTATACAGTACTGTACACATCTTCTGCCTCTAATTATTCCTTCTTTCTACGATACATTAGTTTCAAGGTTTTAGAATTGGACCTATCTTTTCAAATTAGTTTTGCTCTACTACCCCATTTGGTTGTATGCTTGCTAATTGCTTGGATAATTACCTACTTTTCTATGTTTATGGGGGTCAAGTCATCTGGGAAGGTAAATAAACTTTTCAAAACACTTTCATAAATTGTGTAACCTTTTTAAAATACTCACTAAAGGCTACTCTTCTGTTAGCGTTATTAATAGCAGTACAAATACTTATTCATTAATTGACAAATCTATGGGTATATAAATTAAAATTTCGCTAAGTGCAAATATCTTTCCAACGGAAGGCGGCTTATTTCACTGCTACTCTCCCCTATCAATGAATTATTAAATATTATGCGTGTATAAATTAAAATTTCGCTAAGCACAAATGTCTTTTAAATTGAAGGTTGTTTATTTCACTGCTACTTTCCCCTACATTGTATTGATCGCTTTCCTAATACGCGGCGTAACGTTGCCTGGAGCTGTCAAAGGGATAGAATATTATATCGTACCAAATTTCACGAAACTGGCCCATGCAGATGTAAGTAAATCAAAATTTGCAGTATAAGATTTTAATGTTACGTGGAAATTCCTGCATAATTCTAATTTTGCTGCCACAGCTAAATTAGAATTGTTATGCTTAACTTGTTAAGTCATAAATTCTGTGATAAGAGGTTTTATCCTTGAGGTTAAGTGAGTCCGTTTCAAATTTATATTTTTATTCCTTAACAACGTCGCTATTTAGCCCTGGGTAGATGCTGTCGGCCAGATATTCTATTCTTATGGAATTGGTTTTGGTTCACTTATTGCTATGGGAAGCTATAATAAATTTAATAACCGAATTCAGAGGTAAGGTCATTTGATCTAACATGTGCGTTATCATCAGCGGCAACTAGCGTTCCTAATAAATAAATATTTACCGTTTGTAGAGATGCATTTTATGTTATCCTAGCGAATAGTGGCACTAGCATCTTTGCTGGTTTCGTGGTGTTTGCTATATTGGGATTTCTAGCTGAAATTACAAATACGCCAGTAGCTGGTGTTGTAACGGAAGGTGAGACTAAAACTCTAATTCATAACACATATAAATAAATATACGTTGATCTTCCATTATACTGTTATAACTTGGTGTATTAAACTCTAACATTCTTAATACGCTGGAAGAGTCACACCGCAGTTAGCTTCGCTATTGTTATGCGGAACATCACTTATACATGCCAATTCGGTACCTTAATCTAGGTATCGCTTTAGCTTTGGTTGCCTATCCACAAGCGATCGCCAAATTGCCTAGTCCTCATGTTTGGGCTATAATATTTTTCATAATGCTTATGACTCTAGGCATGGATAGTATGGTAAATAATCGCTTTAATTGAATTTAATTATTCATTGGTATTGTAATTATATTATCGTGTATAGATAGAGATATTGAAGATTACTATTCAATAGAAAATAATTCGAGTTTGTTGAAATCGCTATTAGTTGTCGACATTAAAATGCAATCTTCACTGGTTATTTGTAATTTATTTTTTGCAATTTCCAGTTCGGAATGATTGAAGCTGTATCTACTGGCATCAGTGATCGAGTAAAAAATAGAATAACGAAGCGTAAACCATTAATGGTTTTAATTATTTGCATCTGTTTCTTCTTGATTGGCTTAATATGTGCGACGAAGGTAGGAAATTTTGCAGCAGCATTACAACTATTTAGATGTAACATAACATTTTGATGTCTAGTAGATAATGCAATGTATTGTAAGACTAAGAAACGGTAAAATGAATTAGAATTTGATTTACTGTTGCATATAACTTACTCGCTGGTTTGATATTAGGCAATTACAACATGAATTATTGGAAAATCTTTACTATGTGCAATCATAAATAGTGCGGTTGGATTTCGATTAGATAACCCTGCTATAAGTTCTTAACTCGCATGGATAGCTCTGTGATTCTATAACATACGAATATATACATTTACACCTATACCTAAGCATTTTATATTGTTGTCAGGGTTTGGGACCAATGAAATGAACGTCGATCCTTTTAATTTAGTCTCAGCTTTATCGTTGAAATTACTGTCTGCAACAGCACTCTGTCAATGTCAATGAATATATTCTGTTTACTATCGTTATATCCGATAGGCAAGTGTCTTTGTCGTTTCAATTATGGACAAGTATTGTGGAGGTCGATCTTTAATGCTTGTGGTACTGCTAGAGACAATTGCTATTTCATGGGTTTACGGTAGGTTGATATCAACTTGTAAAGTCAGGATGTAACCAGGACATTTTACCAATCTCGAATGGAAAATTGGATAAAACTTACTGGTATTAAGGCAATATTGTTAACTTTTTTAGGAGCGAATAAATTTTCAGAAAACATAGAAGAGATGACTGGTAGTCGAGTCTTTATTGGTTGGAAATTTTGCTGGATGTTTTTATGTCCCGCTTGCTTATTGGTTAGTAAAATTTGTTGCTAGGTGATACCAAACACGCAGTAATCCCATACTGATAGTGCGTTAATATGCTACTGTAAATCTGTTTTGTAAGTTGTAGCTATAATACTTTCCTATTCACGGCAGTAATATTGAATTCTTAGCATCATCTAGAATGAGTGCTTACCGTTTAGAAGGCAGAAAGTACCATAAATAAAATTTTCCGCTAACTATTGCCCAAATATTCATGGTCACTGCCAGTAAATTTAATATAAATTAAGCTTTATAAATGGTTCCATGATTACGTAGTACATATGTAGTAATGCAACTTATACAACATTGCTTATCATTTTCCAAGGTTATACAACCTATTTACAGTGTACAGTATAAGAATATCAAAGTGTGTGTTGTCTTATGGTAATAGTAACCCATCCTTTATTATTCTAGGTTGTATTCGTGCTTAGCATAGTTCAAGATCAGCCACTGTCATATGCTGGAGTTCCCTTCCCAGGATGGACACTCTATGCTGGAGTTGGCTTGTCGTTAACTTCTTTTCTATTTGTTCCTATTGTGGCCATATATCGAATCATTAAAGAAAATGGATCATTCTCTGAGGTACCATAAATGAATTTTTTTAGAATTAATTTAGTTGGCGACTATTTTCGAGGTCATAATTGTAGTTACTAAATAATCACTGTTATTTATACAGCTGTGCTATCATGTAACTTTGTGATGATATTTTCGATTTATGCACTGTGTTCACTTGCGTTGCTTCTGCTAACTAATGCTTGTGTTTTATAGAGAATAAAGACCCTGATCACTCCTTGCGAACTACCCGTGACCACGAAACATAATCAGCATTCTGCAGTGATTATAAGTAGTAAATTGTAATTAGATATGTAGTCTTCCTTGGGACACTTACGGTAATAATATCATTAGATACCTTGCTGTCTTGTATTTTTCTGTCCGAGCTCTTGCTTACTTTACGTTTTGTTTATATAAATAATCACTAGGGAAAATGATGTACTAATACAAAATATTCTTTTGGTTGATATATAAGAATGTATGTTGCTTTTAGTCTATTTGCGAGTCTTGTGATATTATTTTGTTACTATAGGATTTTAGACTCTGATATCGAGCTTAACATTGAGAACATTTGTTGGTAATATTTGCTAGTTGTATTTACGTGTATAATCATAGCTCTTTAATGAAACATTATATATGATATCTCTACCTGAATATTTATCTCTCAAAGGATTATCAGCATATAATTCCTATAAAAGTTAATTCTAATTCAAGTATTTGAATGTTGAATAGTATAATGTTTGCATTAGAGTTGTTACGTTATTAGAATCCATTTAACATTACCATGCAATAAAAATCGGCGTAAATGCATTTTAAGGTTTAGCATTTACCGTAGGATTTACTTGCTGATGTAAGTGAAATCCAATTCATTAGAAAAGAATTTCAATTAAATTATTCCGTTCTGATTTGTTGTAATTGAAGCAATGATAAAATGGTAGAGCAAACGGTAGTAAATTGTTTAGAGATGCGAAAATGAATTAAATTACGAGTATAGTTTACGGTAATATATTAGATTGCCAAACTAATAAGATAGTTGCCTAAACAAAATTTCAACGTAGTTTGCAGCCTTACTTTTGAAGTCTAGAATAAAGCAGGTAAAAGTCTTTATACTTTATTAATAAAATGCTGGTCTTACATTCAGAAATATTCAGTGTTGAGAGATTATGAAATACAAGAAACTTTGTCTGCCGCGAAGGTCACTTATTCTACTATAGTGATAGCTGCATCGTCTCAAAGATCGGCAAATTACAATTTAGAGTAAACTCAATAAATATCTATAAGAATATGAATAACCATAACAACTTTGATTAGTCTTTTGATCAAGGAATTAATGCTAAAAGTCTTAACAGTGCGAATAGATTAGTAAGGTTAAACATATTTCCTTAAGTCAAGTTAATCACATTTAGATTCAATATGTTTTATTATATATTGTATTTTGCTAAAATATACAAGACTTTAAAAACAATCAATAACCATAAAACTTAATTTTTCATGTAATTACTCAAAGTAAAAGAAATAAATGTAAAATATAATAATAATAGCTACTAACGAAAACCAGATATCGATTGAGTCTCTCTGATACCAAGGCATATCAAAAGCTTGAACTCGTAAGTGTTTTGCGTTATCGTGGAGTTGAGCATATTCTATCCAATTAGCAGCTTCTTTAATACCAGAAATAGTCTTTTCAGTTTTATACTGCATAAGACTGGCAATTCTCTTACTGTTCTCTTTAATTATTGGATCATGAATAACATTCGTAATCGAAGGCAATAGCTCATTAACAGTACCTTCGGATAGTGATAGCACTTTACCAATACCGGCAACTTGAACTCTTTGAGCATTGCCAGCTTGATCTCCGAATAAAGGAATCGCTAACATAGGAACTCCATAATAACTTGCTTCCAGAATACTGCTCATACCGGCATTAGTAACGAATAATTTACAATTTGGATTCGATAACAGATCATTTTGCGGTATCCATGACATTATCTTAACATTTTCTGGCTGATTTTTTAAAGGCTGGCCTGAATATTTCCATATAATACGATAGGGTAGTTTAGAAAGCTTTAACACTAATAGCTCATAGTCAATATCAAGTTGGAAATTAGGGACATGAGACCCAAAGCTGATTACTATAAATTCAGGTGATGAAGTCGAATAGATAAAATTATATAAATCAACTGTGAGGTTATTAGACGTCTGCCTCGGTATAATGGGTCCAACAACTTTGACAGATGGTGTAATTGGTCGTGCATATTCAATAGCGAAACTTGTGGTCATAATTAATATATTTGCAAGTGGGATATGATAATTGCGATCTAAACTAGGTATTTTTGTATACTTCATCCATAAATCTTGATTACCCTCATCCATAATTTGATCAAATAATAAATCAGCACTAATATATGTAAAAAAATTTTGTAGACGTTGGATAAAAGTCATTTCGGTACTAAAATCGAGTATCATCATTGGGATATATGATGGCGGAGTGGGTATCCTATATAATGATGATACTATTGGGTCTTGAAATCCACTTGCTGAGAATCCAACATGGTAAGGGATATTTTTCAGCATGTCTTCGATAATTACAGAACAACGGAATGTGACATCCGTTATTAGGATATCTAATATAGACAACACAAGAGTTTTAATAATCTAGTCCACTGCAACGCATGACACGATTTTTTATACTAAAGGAGATTAGAACAAATTTCGAAAATTATTTAGCTACGAAGTTCAAAATTATTATAAAAATTAATGCGTATCTATCGATAGATGATAGATTAGCCGCGCACTAGTAGCGTTTCTTTGGCGTTATAAAATGTAGTTATTACAGCCAGCTAGAGTAGTAAAGTTCTTTAAAAGTATAATAATAACATGAAGTAAAGCACTATGTGACGTAGAATAGTAGCTTATACTTACAGTTAATAAAGAAATTTTAGACCATGGTTTTTATGGATTAAAACCCATTCACTGCATATAGTATAAAATGATTCAAATCTTTAAAGTATTTTACAATTACAATTATATTGTTCAATTCCAACTCAATTTCTACCATGACTTTCTTTACTGCATATTTTAAACTATACTTTAACGGGGTAATGTGGCATTCGTACTTATTGACTGAAAAAATTGATTATTTCAGAGCATAATTCAATTATTAATCCTTAGAAACTATGGCTAATGGAATCATTAACATACACCCGTATTAGTTTAGCTCACGTAATGTGCCCATATAGCTGGATTATCTGAGACCGAAATGGCTAATTTTTAGAGTACTCGTACGTTTTTAATAGGTACAACATAAAATATATGGAGTATACGGTGAGTAAATGCGGTAATAATAAAAGTTATAGTTTGCCTGTAGAGAAATTATTTCAAGTTTACGTCATGTTGTGATTACCATATGTTTTATAGCAAATACGTTCGTTTATAAATACGATAAAGCGATTTATTTTTATCGAAAGATGCATTATATTCGCTTGCTAAATTATTTTAAAACAAATTTTATATTGCGAATATCAGATCAAGATAGGAATATAGCATACCTATAAGGTATGGTTGGAATATCTTTACATTGCAACCTAACGAGATCGTAGAACTCTTTTACCGCTTAGAATTGAACTGTTTATGAATAACTAGTGATGAAACAGTAAAGTGGATTTAGAAGAGAAAATAGGTAAAGAGTACGCAGGTAGAATAATATGCATCCAGATTAAAATAGATGTAGAAATAGCCACACTACTTTACGATCAGGAACTGTACTTGCTAAATTACAACAGTAGCAATCAATTGATAATAATTTAATTGTACTTCTAACCTGTTCCATTTGATATTTCTTTTAACAGCTGACGGTCTTTAAGTAAACACTCACAGTCATCATTCAGCATCGTTATGCAGAAAGATGATAGATTTTGTTTGCCCTTGACAAATTGTTGAATGCAATCTGTAACAAACGAATCATTGAGAATAGTGCGATAACGGCGAATCCGGATAGTTGAAGCATGATCATGTCGGAAATCGACATTAGAGCCAACTACTAGAGTGAATTGATGCCCTCGTTCAACTAATTCCTGACCAATTTGGACTAATTGAATGGCATGGCTGTATGTGTGATGTGATACAGCTACGATCTCAGAGGCTTTCAGGGATCCAGAATAACAAGAGATGAGCATAAGAACAAGAATCGAAGTGAAATAATGAAAAACCATTCTATTTGATTGACTTGGAGTTAGCAATTTATCGTATATCAAAAGTTATGAGTATTCTAAATCATGATCATTCCAGATGTGAGGATATTCTAAGTATCTGAAAAAAAATTGTACCTGCGTTATGGCTAATAATAAAGTGTGATATAGGCAATAAGAATGAGAAGGAGATTTTTAATGAGAGCGATATATTTAAGTGTGATGATCGAAAGTTAATGTGTTCTAGATTATTGTAGAATCTCGAACTATTCAATCTTCTGATCTTATATGTATGTTATACACGTATGTAAAACAGATACAAGAGATATTTGATTAGTAAACTACAGTGTTGACTTTTAGACATATCTAATATTTATTTCGTCTCCAGAAGTACTCCAAAACTATCGTAGTTATTGAGAAGATACAATTAATTTAGCAATGCTTCATTTACTCTTCAGTCATGAAGTGTGTTATAAATTTCAAATTAAGTTGCGATTGCAATATCGTGAGGAGTTGATTGGATAACGTATGGCTGCGCAATAATTATATGATAAATTGAAATCGTTACAATTTACAAGATGTATTCGAAATCAAGGATACTTCTGTTAAATGTTGATTAATAAGGGAATAGAATCTGTTTTATGATATCGCATGCTGATAGACAAATTTTTTCTTATTTCCGTCTGGGCTAGTTTCTGACGTAACAAACGGTTAGACAGATAATCGACTAGTTTATAGTAGCTCTTATGGGAATTGTCAATAAAGGCTAAAACCAGTCTAAAATTAAGCTAATTTCGCTTTGAAAACTTGATACTTTCAATTTAATTCAATTATACTCTGTTCTAGCACATTGCTTACGACAGCCGATACGGATTTAGCGAAATAAAAATCATTATGACAAGAGAGTACAGGGAATATAATCTAACATTCAAGGTCGTTCTGAAGAAATATTGGATTTAAAATGACAACAATATTAGTCTGTGTTCATTTTAGTCCAAGTATCCAGTTAATCAATAGCGAAATTATGAATGTAATAAGAGTTTCGTGTATGCATTAGAAATACAAGGGCCAACGAATGCAGTACTACTTAACGGTTAGCAATAAAAGCTCTCAATAGTTTATTATTACAGTCAGATATGTTGCTATCCCCATCAATATAACACTTGATTATGATTGCAACTTACCATCAGTAGCAAGGTAATTCATCAATGATATTCATTCTTAACTTTGAACTGGACCAATCGAGTAATTCTGGATAGAGTGTTCGCTGTTGGAGTCTGACTAGGTCAATTTTGTTGTCCAATATTTTGTATGTTTTAATTTTATACTATCGCTGTACAATGGCCAAGAACAGTTAGAGTCACATGATAGCGTACGCTAAATTAGCGTTGTTGCATATTCATAAGCTATATATTACTGTTAGTAAAATATTGTATGCGTATGCTGGTACCCATACAATTCAGCTACAAGTATAATATCAGCTGGTAGATTAGTCTAGTAAGCAACATATGTTTGCTAGATGTAGCCGCAGAAATTGAATAGTATCGTCTACGCGATATAACATACGCTATATGCGGTATATACTCGATATTGACATTTAGATAGGGTTCAATGATGCTCAAAAATAGAGTATTTGTTCACTACTAATTTCGTTGTCATCGATTTCTTTTCTACGTTACAAAGTAGAAGTAGTTTAATCTAGTGTAAAGCGATTGCTTTGATGCCATTCATAGCTTGCTACCTCAATCCTCTAAAATCTCTGGTCATCATATAACGATGATGCTTAAGAGCCTACGCATATCTAGAAGGCTCGAAATCAAGAATACTGAACTGTACTGTTGGTTTCCTAGTAAATCGAAGGATGAGCGTTTTAGAAATACTATTTACCATTAGTTTTCAAACTATTAATTTTAATCCTAGACCATAGACTAAATAATGGAACTGATCGAAGCAATATTAAACAGCGCACTTACTATTGGAGCTAGCTCGCGCCCATTTTATTGAACATATTATTCCATGTTAACTCTATCAACAATTGTATCATTTATCAAATTTCTAAAAATGCAAGAATTGGTTAAACTATAGTTCTAAAAGATTTAATACGATAAATTCTGTCTTGTATTGAAATCGAAGTTGACTAATCATAGGGTAATCTTCGTTTTAATTAATTAATCTAGTAGCTAAAGTATATCAGTAACTCAAGTTAACTAGGACAATCAGTTTTATTCCTATATTCTAAACTTGTATTTATTAGTAGCTGAAACTAAAATTTTCAGTCAGTTGTATTATATCAACAATAATTGCGTTATTACATAATTTTACCGAGTATCTATTCAAAACCGTAAATCCCTAATTGTGAGAAGACTTCTAGTTTTGGCTACTATAAGACCTTTAATTTTAATTCTTGCAATAAATTCCAGCTCCTAATTGGTACTCTTCTACATATCCACATAATTACTTTTATCATTAAAAGTCCAATTATAACTAATACAACCGCAACATCGATTAAATGTAACTGATACCAATATAAATTGTACTCTTCAGTTCGTAAATAATTTCCACCATTAGAATTTAATGCAAATTCTATCCAATCACCGGCTTCTTGCTTTGGCGTTCTATGATTACATCTATTCTTGATCAATCTAGATATTTTACTGGTATTTCCACGTATCCATGGATCTGTTGTAATCTTCGTGATAGCATGGAATAGATCATTTCCATTAAACGATTTAATATTTAAAATAACACCTGTATTTTTAGACTGTACTTTTTGTGCGAATGAAACCTGGTCTCCAGCTATCGGTAAACCCACAATGGGGACACTATGATAGGCTGCTTCTAGGACACTGTTAACTCCGCAATGGGTTACAAATCCGATCACGTTAGGATGACCAAGAACATCATTTTGTGGTACCCAATCTAATACCTGAACATTATTAGGTATGTCCTTGAGAGACGAAGTGGTGTTACATTTCCATATCACATGATAAGGTAATCGTGCAAATGCGTAGAGTAGTATTTGTAGATCGAATATATTATTTAAATTTATAATTGTTCCAAATGATACTAGTATAGTACCATTACGGTTAGCAGCAATAAATGCTTCCAAATTTTCAGGTAATTGAACAGCTGGCTTAGACAGGATTGGACCAACCACTTTGACATGGGGAGGAAGTGGACGCGGATAATCTAATGCGAAATCACTATTAACAAGTAGAAATGTTGCTTTTCTAAAGCTAAATTTAGGAGGAGATGAAAATCCTAAATGGGAGATATTGACTTTCTGATATATATAAAAGTCTAATATGACCTTGTCACAAATAAATGATATTGTGTATCCCAGTATGGTGTTAATAATACGCTGAAATAGATTCATCTTATTTGTTGCTATCATTCCGATTTGGGGTACGTAAGCCGTTGGGCTAGGCATATGAAATGATTCTGCAGTTAGAGGATCGATAAATCCATTAGCTAAAATATCAATTTGGATTGGAATTTTGGTATAGCCGGCAACAATTTGGCAGATGTAACTGAGAAAGTCACAAATTAATCCATCTGTAAATACAAAATTTAAAGCTAGAGTATTAATATATAGGGTTCATGTAAGGCTTCAAATGAAGTAATATTATTTTCTATTTTATATCAAACTTTCATGCAGATCTGCAACTGTGCATTATTTATTGAGACTCCATAAGTTACTAGACCATTGCATATATTAGTGTTTAGAAAAAAGAGGGAATATACTCGTTTAAATTATGCTTAATCAAGCTTTTGTTGCGTAATTAAAAAAGTCAGATTTGCAATTTTTAACAATCTTCGTTTGAGGTAAATGCCTGTAGGAATATATATACGCAAGGTTGTAAGAAAGAATTATGGAATAAACGGTAATATTTGCTATTTGCAGTCATAAGAAAGAAAAAATATGATAATAGATGGCAAGCAACCTATGGCGATGATGATTTAATGAATTGAAGGCGCAACTAACTACTTTGTAGCTTCTTTTTTGAAAGGACCAGTTCGTCATATTAAAGTTACCTTTATTAAATATATACGAAATTGGTATGTGTATGGGTACATTTGTAATCATTTACGGTAGTTAGCAAACTACAAAACGTTAGTAGTCATTTATTATCTCCCTTACTTTTTTTTGATTAGTAGGCTCATTTACAAGTGCAGTAGTTGATGTAGCTAACTGCAAAGGAAATTTGTTGCAATAGCAGACGTTGCAAGACAGGAGTCAGGATAGAAATTATTTAGGTGTAATCATACCCTTAGAGAAAACTATTGATAGAATAATCCGTAGAAATAGCGTGATTTGTATCAATAAACAAAAATATCGTAATAATAAATTATAATGGAGTTCGAAAAGGAATTTATTTTTAGGTCTCATTTTACTAATTACCGCATTTATGTTAATATGATATGTAAGAAGTATAATTTAATTGTGTTCTTCACATCATTCTCCTCTCATATAGCGTTTCTCATGAAATCCTTCCCTTCCATTATACGATCCTCTTCAGCCTTTTGTGTAGAAGCTACTCATCTAGTTACTGATTGAGATTCGCTATTTTACTCTTTCATAGCCATATGACTACTTCTACCTCCAGTGCATGACTAGTTATAATCCTATGATTTGTTGCTAAGAATGTGTGCCACCTCCTTGGCAATTTCTTATATTCTTGTATTTTTCTTGTTCGACATATAATAAAATCTGTCCAACAGTATTCAAAACCTATTTCTTATTTACAAGTCAGAAAATTACAGTATCTGCTTAGACTTAAATTAAACCATGATGTACATAACTTGTAATGTTTTAGTATTTTGCAAAAGTCTCCTTTCGTATGATGATTTATAATCAAGTTAATAAAGCTTGCCTAATAATTCACTTTAGCATGTAGAAATGCCGAGCAGTTAGCGTTATAGCCTATCGACGAAAAATGAAAAGTGCAATATTACTTCTGTATTTATTGTATCTGCTAGTTAAGCTTTTCCGCCTATGCTATCACAATTTTAAGAGCCTCTGATCTGTATTTCATGATAAAATTGACAATTATCAACATAAATTTTGCTTGCTTACTTACTAAAGCTAGTAAAGTAATACGAAAATAACTTCTCTTTATACAATGCTGAGGAAGCAATTTTAACTGATAGGAATAAGTATATAAAATAGAGGCAATGAGGGAGGCAATAAAAATCGTACTATGGGCAGCTAGCTGGTAATCAAGCAAATACTAAAAATCTTACGCTAAAGATTCGATTGATGCTACTAATTTGCTACGCAAGATGATTGGAATAAATAACAATAACACAATATCAGTAAAAAAACAAGATAGAAGTAAATGCAGTATGTGCTAAAACATTTTATAGCGATTAATTTCTATATTATCGATCGATTCTACCTTACCGAATTGTTGCTTTTTCATCTCATCTAGTATTTCTTTTTGTAGGGTAAATGCATTTACATCATCTGTCATAGTACGAGAGCATGGGGTAAGCATTTGATCATCATTTTTGAACGCTATTGCAGTACATAAAGATATTGCCTCGTTATCGACTGGTGTCTGATAGTATCGAATAGTTAGATTTCTCTTCTTTAAGAACTGATAATTGGAAGATGATGTCAAAATTGTAATATTATGACCACGTTGTTGAAGTTCTTCACCAATAACAGATAGGATTTGTGCATGGCTGGGATAATACTGTACAAGCAATAGCAATCGAGCAGGTTTGCACGGGCTAGGAATTATAAACGCACTTAAAATGAGTAATAACCAAAATTTGAAAATATTCGTTAAAACCATTATGAATTTTAATGTCGTTTTAAAGTATAGACCTATAGAATTGTTTTATAAATAATATAGGGATCTTTAGCAGAGGATTAGGCATTCCTCCTTTTTATTAATACACATATATGTATATTTATATTAATGATGCGGCGTATAACGTCATATTTATTTAAATTAATAATTATTGATTAACACATGTTTGCCATACTGCCGCTGTTATTCAATTCAATAAATGGCGATATTTTTTTACTACCCCATACTGTTTACTGTAGTACCGTATGATTTCAACGAAGAAAATAGCTAGATCTACCAGCCCATCACTTTAATCAGGCTATGTCATGATATTGATATATTTTGATGCCAACAGTCTAAATTTTGCTAGAATAATTATTGACTACATTACATCTTATAGGGCTGGAATTAGTCGTCATCTTCATGTTATTTCCTTTGATAGATATTGTAAGCAATTATCACTATTTTGTAGCTCAGTGCAATTATTTAACTGATTGAACTTAGTCCTACAGTATGTTTAAATTATTCTAATGCACATAAACTGAGGTATGGAAAGGAAATCAAGTATAATATTAGTATGTGCATTTCTTCATGAAATGAGATGTCTATATGAAATCTACACTATCATAAGCGCGTACGCCATATTAATCCTAGGGAGAATTTTAGAATGGCTAGGTGGAAAGATAATGTTGATAGTTCCATGCATTATATAGTATTCAAGGATAGCATTATATATCCTATGGGTCGAATATACTTATGTTTACAGGTTAATGCATCCTGTTAGTCACATTTAGGCCAGAGTAGGAATTTTCTTCCCTTTCAATATTGCTTTTCATCTTATTAAAACTTCTTTTACGTATAGTATAATAAAAATTTTATTCACTGGAATCAATTCTTTACAATAAACTTGAGAGGTGCAATGTTAGGAATCTATTTTCCAAGGAATACCGTGTATCACTCATGAGACAATATACTTATATACAGCATAACTCACCATATTTTGCGCGTTTTTATTGTAGCATAAATTCTAATAGTGAAGTTTAGGCTTCTTTACATTACCTTTCTTTCATATACTTCTAATACTAACATTTCATGACTTGATGGGAACAGCATGTACTAGCATTAAATAATAATTTGATGATACCAATTCTAATCAATAACATAACTTAATTAACATTTTACCCCTTATTCTTGAAATAGACTCTACAATTAGTATTGTAATAAGGATAAATACTCAATACTAATATCAATAGTGCGAGATAAAGTTTATAACTTATTTTTACAACGGTTAAGTTATAATGGTAAAAGAATAAAGCTATTTCTTTCACCTCTATGGGGTAAGCTAGTTAGCCCGACGATCCTACGGAACTTACCCTCCTCGAATAGTTATTAAGGTGAAAAACTTTGATACAATTTAAAGTTACTTATAGGAATTAGTCATACCGTTATGGGAATAGTCTGAGAGATAAATTTATGTATTCTGGCAGTGATTACAGCAAGCCTTATTCCTTAACCTCGTAGATGCGTATACTACTTTGCGTTGTTAACATTCGTGTAGTGCAACCCCAAATAAGCTTAAGACTAAGATTATATAGTCCGATTGCAGCTAGATAGTCCTTGGTCATTGTAAGACGAACATAATCTTATGTAATAAAGTGAAGTAAACATTTAAAAGTTATGCTTACCTGTAGGAGCTTAATTACTATAGAAAATTTAATCGCAACTACATTGCTTTGTAGAAAATATCAATACTCGTCGTTTTAGCATATGACTTTATTTCTGAACCTTGCAAGCAGTTAACTTCAATTAGCAAATCTACTCGATGGTAGAGGCGTAAGATGTTAAATACGTTTATTTTCCTTAGAAAATGATTAACCAGTAATCCATTACATTATCTAAAGTTGTACCATAAACAGACAGACATCAATGGAAGATATATTAAAATCTATAACTAGTACAGTATTTAGCTTCATAAAAGCACTCAACCGCTAGAACTATCCCTAAAATTGATAACTGCTGATTTACGTAGCCTATTTTACCCTAATAGGGTACTTAGGGCTACTGTCTATGATAATTATTCTAGCATCAATCTCAATAATCATTAAGTATTGATTACACTTACCAAATAACCGTTAAAACTACAGATAAAGTATGTGCGACCATCCACGCATGATGGTGCCTTAACGTTATTCAATTCATCATTTATGATTCAATGAGAAGAGAAAAATTTTTAAAACACGCTTTAAAAATAATCTGGCCTTATAATGGAATATCATCCTTTCTAGTACTCAGTAATCACTCGTAATAGTATTGATTGAATAACTCTCAGGTAGCAATATTACAACATGCTACAAAGAATCAAGTATCTTTAAATTATTAATGTATTAACAACAACTTTAATTCATATTGGATCGGACAGTTTCTGTCTCAAATTATCCAAAATGGCTTAGAGAATGATATGTTAAATTTACTAAAAGATTGAAACTACATTCACCGTAGATTTTGTATCATGGTATATAAAATTTTATTTCAATCAAAAACATGCTAGCATAATACTGCAAAGTATTCATCATATTATAGAGTGGTTATTAACTTTTAATATAAAGGTACAATTCAAATAAAAAGGTTACAGGATAGCTTAGCTCTTTGAGGTAATATACTTAGTCATTGCAATGGAAAAATGAGTTAAAACAGGCTTTATTTATGCCTATCAACTGTAGATTAGTAAGTGCATTTAATTGATAATCCGATTGTCGATTTTGGACTGGCTAAGTTATCTTACTTTATAGAAACCAAAGTCACAAAAAGTTTTTAATACTGCTCATTCTCTCTTTCCGTTACCGGTAGTGATATTCGAAATCATGAACGATGATGTTTGACTGTTGATTGTGAGTTAAGCTGTACCCAACATAACAAGCACTTGTGGTAAACGATATACAATAGTGTAATCAATATCCAATTTCATCGCTCTATACCAGATAGAGTGATGTAATACTATATTCTAATGTTATGAATAATAGTCAACAGTTAAACCATAGAAATATAGACGGGTTTATTGAAGCTAAATGAATTAAATTGGATTCTTTCTGTTAAGGCTACCGATTGTTAGAACATGAACAATTGTTGATAGTATATCCATCGAATTCTCATGATTCTTTCAGTTTATTGCCTTTGCGGCAGCAAAGCCAGGCAAATCCCATCCATACTAAGTTTAATAACTTGACGAATATAAACAGCATGATAGCAATAACAGCATAAACATCCAATAGATATAGCTGATACCAAGATAAATTATATTCTTCTGTCCTTAGATAGTTTCCTCCATCACAATTGAGTGCAAATTCAACCCAATCGCCAGCCTCTTCAACTGGTGTCCTACCGTTAGGTCTATTCTTAATTAATTTAGAGACTTGGGCAGCATTATCTAGAATTTGTTTATCTGTTGTAATTTTGACAATTGAATTATGAATTTCTTTCACTGTTGCTGATTTGATATCCAAGACGACACCAACACCTTTGGCAATAATTTTTTGGGCATGAGCTATCTGATCTCCAACGACTGGCATCCCTAGCATTGGTTTGCCATGATAAGCACCTTCTAGGATGCTATTTAAACCGCAATGAGTTACAAAAGCTTTCACATTAGCATGACCTAGTAAATCATTTTGCGGTAACCATTTAACAATCTTGATATTGGAGGTCAGCAACTGTTTGGGAACTTCCTCGGTATACTTCCAGATGACGTTATAAGGTAATAAACTAAATGCCATGAAAAGTACTTGGATATCGATAACATATTTGACAGCTGTTACAACTGTACCAAATGATACCACAATAGTACCGTTAGGATTCGATGTGATAAACTCTTCCAGGTGTGGTGGCAAAGATTTAGGAGGCTTTGGTAGGACAGGACCAACCATTTTGGATGTTGGCGTCAGTGGACGTGGATAATCAATTGCAAAATCGCCATTAACAATTAGAAATGTAGCTCTTGTATCAATAAATTTAGGTACCGCCTGCAAACCGAGTTTGCTCTTATTGACCACTTTATAAAGGGAATCAAATATGAAATTGTCGAGAAATGTCATGATTAAAGGACTGATGACAACATTAATAGTACGCTGATATAAGTTCATTTTATTGGTAGCGACTAAGCCCATCCTTGGAAGGTAAGCGAGAGGAGCTGGTATATGAAATGGAATACTGACGAATGGATCCACGAAACCAAGGGTTGAGACATCAATTTGAATTGGAATTTCGGCTGCTTCCGATACGACATGGCACGGATAGCAAGCGATATCGCATACGATAGCATCTATAATGACCATCATCAAGAGAAATTAATTGAAAAAAAGATTCATGTACTATACTTTACATTTATGTTCAATCATTCATGTACTGTATTCTACATGTATGTTCAATTGTCAGTTGCGCTTAAGGAAAATGGTTGTTCTGGATGAAGACTATAGAGAATAGGAGATTGGAATGGACTTAATAAAGAAAGTTATTTAGATAGGATGATGAAGTGTAAAATGAGAATAGTGTGTTTTTTTTTGATCTCATTGTATGGTAAGCATTATCTTCTACTAGTCTATTTCGTACGATTCAACACCTTTAATGATGTTATTGCATTTGTAGCTCACTATAGTTGGCTACATAACTTGTCCTGGTTAACTATCATGTTTGTTGGATTAAATTTTACTGAAGCAAAAGATTGACTTGTTATCGCAAGTATTCCCATACGAGAAATGACTGATCATCATAACATGATGATCAAAAGTGAACAACAATGGCATAGGAAAAGTAGAATATGGCGGACATGCCGTATGTTATGTACATAAGATATCCATCGACTGGTGTAACCTATCAATGTCACTTGCAAGATTTTCTACCGTATGGTGACTATACAAGAAATGGCACAACACAGTAGTCCTATCCCATTCCTCGAGCATTGGATGAAAGGTTAACTAACAGCAGTCAAGCTATCGCTTACCAAATTTTTCAGCTCTGATTTGCTGTAGTAAGCTATCATCATTCATGTATGCTTTATTATCATCGATTAAATGCTTCATACAAGTGGTAATGAAAACATCATTCTTCTTGAGTGCCACAGCAGTGCAACTACCAATATCATGTTGAGTAACTGGTGTTTCATAAAATAGGATGTTGTAACCTCTTCCAGCAACAAAATGATTGGCTGTAGATGTGATGACAGTGACTGAATGGCCTCTCTTATGTAATTCTTCACCGATGGCAGCTAAAACTTGAGTATGGCTATGATAAAATGAAGCACCTATGGCAATTTTAGCTGCTGATGAAAGCTGAACACAAGCTATTGCATTCATTACCAACCACAAGCCGACTACCATGATGGTTTTCATCGTGCCAATGGAAGCAAGACTAAGCAAGACTGTATATTTTCAATACTCAATGGTGAGGGGGAAAAAAAAATTGGAATTTTTTTCAATCACCACCTATTCTTAATAACAGCGTCGATCAATCGATTTAATACCAGTAAGAAGGATCAATTCTTAACCGAGCTGTTTTGATATCATGGTGGATAAGAGAAGACAGACTGCAATTGAATTTGAAGGTGTTAGCGTGATGGATGATTTTCAATAAAGTTTTCTCTCCACTAAGCGATGGAAGCAAAGAAGACGATGACGATGAATGGCTTGGATTATTCTCCTTCTTGTAATATGATCGAGAACAAAAAGTCGGCAGCCAACGTTGCAACTATTCAACAAGTTCAACTAGAACAGATTGCATGGAGAAAATAACCGCTAACTCGATGTTGTTTCAATAAATCAATGATGATAGTCATGAAGATGGAAGTTATTTACGCCAGATTTTATTTTATTTTGCGCTGATGGAGGTAGGAAACAAGGACGGTAAAAGGTCACGGCGATGCGATTGGAGGTCACAGCCAAGACACGAGTCAAAAGCGTATCTTCACCAGCTTGGTATGCGATAGTCGACTACACTTACTATCAAAATATTGACGCAAGACCAGCGTACAAAAGACTGTATTCTACAGTGTACAGTACGTGTCGTAGTCTGGCAGACTGTACGGATAGACAGTAAGTCACCTGAGAACGGCTCGGTTCGGTTCGGTCCGGTTCGGTTAAAACTCGTTTTTTTCCCCCTGCCAGTACTCATACGGATTCACAACTACTGGCTGTCGTCAATAGTGATTCTACTGTAGAACAGGCATGATCGAGCACTTGTTGATTAATCCATCAGATTAGCAAGATGGCAAAACATGCTATCCATCAATGGCTGTTGTTATTTTCTATTTTTGCACTCTAGAAAATAGAGCCAGCTTAAACGTTGATGTTGTTATGCCTCGATGATCAACACAGGAGACCTTACAGACTAAAATCGCCTGTACAATATCCTAGTCTAGAGCTAGTTTACAGCACCAACTGCAATGGGACTGGCTCAAAATGAGGTCATGACCTCTTGATGATAAACATGGGCTTGTCGTCGATAACGATGAAAAATAATTTATTTTATTTTATGTGGGTTAAAGTTGAAGTGTTTATTGAAGAGTGGCAAAAAAGGCAATCATCGCTATCAATAACGCTTGATATTGCCTTCTATTGCAAAGATGAGCCATTGAAAAGTAGACATGGGATAGAATTGAGCGACAAAACAGTTTTGATCGCTTCCTCTATCAATGCTAGGCTGTGCTGATGCAGTGCACATTACTGGCTGTGGGTGGTGGCAAGTGGATGAGGAAGGAAGCAAACAAGCAGATTGACTTGTCTTTTATAAAATCGATGATGAAGGGGGTAGAAGCTTGCAAAATGCATGGGGATAAAAGGAATTCAATGACTACGCATTCCATTTCAGGGTAGCAAACGATTGATGAACGTTGAATGGACAGTAAATCCATTTTACAAGTCCAATACGATCGGCAATGCAACAGATAGAGAGTCCTATGGGATAAATGTTGCCTATAGTATGATCGAATAGAGTTGATTGCTGGACATATACTTTAGTATTTTCATCCTCGATATTACTGTTGAATAACATCAATACAACAGTAGATAAAGGAAGCAACCAACATCATCATAGCAATTGTTTACTTAACTAGGCCTTGCCTTCTCACGTTCTCCGTCTTCAATAGATATCATTAACTCGATCAAAAGGGAGGCATAGGCATGACTATCGAAAGCGATCCAATAGACTTGACTGTTCATTCTCATGAATATATTGATATATTCATATTGAATGAATCGGGCCCTTCTCATATCCAATGATACAGTTGTAAATGGTTTGTTTTGGTCAATAAGGCAGGCTTTCCTCGCCTGATTGGATGACAACAATCTTTTTACTGCACGTATTTCTGCTTTGCTTACAGTACATTAGCACAAGTTGACACACACTATGCTCTCTCGATGGCTATTAGCATTAGCCATAGTGCATGTAGAAACATCATTTCAGTCGTGCTATGCAGCTCAATTTCTGTTAGTTTCCCAGTTCTATCACAGCCATGCTCAAACGATGGCTACTATCGGTGATGAATTACACCAAAGAGGTCATCATGTCGTTGTTGTAGCGGCTTCTGCTCTCCAATTTTTAAATCATAAGCCATATACCGTCAAGTACTATCAGACATCGATGAAGGAGAAAGACATGGAAGATTGCTTAACCATAGTCTTGAAACATCAAGATTACACTATGTCTCCTTGTGTTAAATTGATTCAAGAAGATCTACAAGCATTTACCAATGATAACCAACTATTGCAAGAGTTAAAAAGTCAACATTTCGGTAAGGGCGGATTGTTTTGTTATTGTTTTGAATTTTGATCTTCAAGAAACATGTTCTGTTTGCTTAAAGGTAGTATATTATTGTCAATAAGCTACTGCTATAGTCTAGTTACACCAATTGTACTCTACTCATAAGGCTATGGTAATAAGGGAAGGCCTTGATCAGCTTACATTGCTCGGAATCTGCAACTTGAAAATGCTCTTGCAGATCATCTGGTTAAATGATTGGAAATCCAACGGCCTCTGATCGATCAATATATTAGTCCAATATCACCACTGGCTGTATTTCACAAAACTAATCAGTACATAAAACTTAATTTACAGTTACAACTATCATTCAGAATCACAATAAAATAGACTATTACCTCTAACTTGATTAATATTCCAAATCAAACGGCCTCTGATCGATCAATATATTAGTCCAATATCACCACTGGCTTTATTTCATAAACTAATCAGATATAAAACTTAATTTACAGTTGCAAGTATCGTTCAGAATCACAATAAAATAGACGATTATCTTTAACTTGATTAATATTCCAAATCAAATGGCCTCTGATCGATCAATATATTAATCCAGTATCACCACTGGCTTTATTTCATAAACTTAATTTACAGCTACAAGTTACAACTATCGTCTACAATCGCAATAGAATAGACGATTACCTCTAACTTGATTCATATTCCAAATCGAACGACCTCTGATCTATCAATATACGTATTAGTCAAATATATCCACTGCTTTTATTTCATAAACTAATCAGTACGTAACTTAATTTACAATTATAGTTATCATTCAGAATCGCAATAAATAGACGATTGCCTCTAACGTGATTCATATTCCAAATCGAACGGCCTCTGATCTATCAATATACGTATTAGTCAAATATATCCACTGCTTTTATTTCATAAACTAATCAATACATAAAACTTAATTTACAGTTACAATTATCGTTCTGCAACACAATATAGAATAGATGATTACCTCTAACTTGACTAATACTCGAAATCGATCGGCCTCTCATCTATCGATATATTAGTCCAGTATCAGCATCACTGATTTATTTCATAAACTAATCAACATGTAAAACTTAATTTACACTCACAACTATCGTTCAGCAACATAATATAGAATAGACGATTACCTCTAACTTGACTAATACTCGAAATCGATCGGCCTCTCATCTATCGATATATTAGTCCAGTATCATCACCACTGATTGCATTTCATAAACTAATCAGCACGTAAAACTTAATTTACACTCACAACTATCGTTCAGCAACACAATATAGAATAGACGATTTCCTCTAACTTGACTAATACTCGAAATCGAACGGCCTCTCATCTATCGATATACTGTATTAGTCCAGTATCATCACCACTGATTTTATTTTATAAACTAATCAGTACGTAAAACTTAATTTACAGTTACAACTATCGTT